CTGTGCTTTTGGGGTTGTATTCATAAAGTCTTTGCCCAGTCCTACTTCCTGAAGTGTTTCCCCTTTGTTTTCTTTTAGGAGTTTTATAGTTTCAGGATGTGTATTTAATTATTTAATCCATTTTGAGTTTATTTTGGTATATGGCAAGAGGTACAGGTCTAGTTTCATTCTTATACATATGGATGTCCAGTATTCTCAGCATCATTTATTGAAGAGGCAGTCTTTTCCCCAGTGTATGTTCTTAGTGCCTTTGTCAAAGATCAGTTGGGAATAAGTATGTGAGTTGATTTCAGGGTTCTCTATTCTGCTCCACTGGTCTGTGTGTCTGTTTCTGTGTCAGTACCATGCTGTTTGGTCACTATAGCTTTGTAGTATAATTTGATGTCAGGTAGTATTATACCTCCAGCTTTATTTTTTTTTCTCAGGAGTGATTTGGCTATTTGGGGTCTTTTTTTGTTCCATATGAATGTTAGGGTTGTTTTCTCTATTTCTGTGAAGACTGTTATTGGTATTTTGATGGGGATTGCGTGGAATCTGTAGATTGCCTTGGGTAGTATGGACATTTTCACTATGTTAATTCTTCCAATCCAAGAGCATGGAAGGTCTTTCCATTTTTTTTGTGTCCATTTAAATTCTTTCAGCAATGATTTGTAGTTCTCATTGTAGATATCTTTCACCTCCTTGGTTAACTTTACTCCCAGGGTTTTTTTGTTTTTGTTTTTTTGTCGTTGTTGTTGTTGTTTTCTGTCTTTTTTGTGACCGGTAAGGGGATCGCAACCCTTGGTGTGGTGTCACCCACACCGCGCTCAGCCAGTGAGCGCACCGGCCATTCCTATATAGGATCCGAACCCACAGCGGGAGCGTTGCTGCGCTCCCAGTGCCACACTCTCCCAAGTGCACCATGGGGCTGGCCCCCCCAGGGTTTTTTTAAATGACTATTGCAGATGGGCTAGGTTTCTTAATTTCTTTTTCTGCTAGTTTCTATCTCTCCTTTTATTTCACCGTTTAGGACCCACATTCTGCTAAGTAGTCACTGTATTAAGAATTACCCACAGGAGGATAACATAAGATCTTTGTATCTGAAAACTAAATAGTGCATTTTGTTTATTACATTCTTAAAGGTAGAAGTGTCCAAGTTTGAAGATTTGGAAGAAGTGAGTGCTGAACTGAAGCTCAAACAATTGCTCTGGGATTCTTCATCTGAATGGGATAAACTCCAACAAGAATGGTTAAAGGTAGAAAAAAAATCTCTCACTTCTTAAATTTTGAATTAATTAAACTTAAAATATTAAAATATTAGTTATAATTTTTAATAATCTGGTATATTCTTAATGTCAGTAAAATATGCAATTTTGTAATTTTATGGGAATGTGTTTCAGCTTTCCCGTGAAATGAACAAAGGTCCTCGGTCAGTATATGCTGCAAGGAAGAAAACATTTCTAAAAGGCAGGCTTCTCAGGCCCTTCATTTAAGAAGGCGAAATGATGGAAGCATCAAAGAACCTCACTGCATGACATTTAACTGCTTTGTGGTTTCTAAACACAGTGTTGTCATAATACACCCCAGAGTTCTTGAGGATCATAGCATTCTATTTGTGAAGTTTTGGTTAGCTTCTGTTTCTGTTCTTGTTGTCTTTTAAAAAGGAAGCCATTTTTTTCACTGAAACAGAATAGAATTAGAGAGATGAGATCTAGGATCTTCCCTTGAGAGCTCAATAAGCAAGTACTCACATCTACCATAGAGTTTTGTTTCTAGGGTCTACCTTAATATTCAAACCTTAATAAGGGTTACCTGTGTATGAGGCAGAGTAGATGGGCACCTATACCGTCAAGTGTTACATGGATGTGTTGGAAATACCATCAACTTCCCAAATATTGTTTTACACTTCTCATTCATCCTACCTGTGCTGATGCCAGTAATTAGAAGTCACATGTCTGGGTTAAAAAACAGTGACACAGGAAATGTTTCCTAGGTAATGTTCTAGATGCTGGAATTACTGATGGAGAATAAAAAGAAGAGCAAACTCCAAACCTTCACAGAAGTTACCTTTTGGTAGAGGAAAGAGAAGACAATTAACAGATATATGCTATAATATCAGAGAATTTTAAGTGCTCTCTCATAATTCATTTATTACTTATCTCAGAAGTAAAAAATACTCTTGAGTAGCAAGGACGAAGCTTAGAGAATTTTCTAATTACCACCATAGATTAGAAACGTGGCTTCCAAAGTAGGATACATTCACTCTAGGAAATACACAAGGAAACCCATTAGGGAACAGAAGGAAAATGTTAAACTTAGGAAAAGAAAAATGAAGGTTTGCAAACTTTCTATTGTCCTTAGTCCATATGACTATCTGNTAGGAAAAGAAAAATGAAGGTTTGCAAACTTTCTATTGTCCTTAGTCCATATGACTATCTGACATGTCAATATAAGTGTACACTTATATGTTTATGTAATTGAGATATACAATTACAGATATATACATATATTAGGGATGCATCTGTAAAACATTTGTATAAATGAGTACAAAATCAAATAGTAGGAAACTACAAGGTGAGAAATTTCTGGTTAGCAAGAGTAAAAATTATCTGTTTGCTTCCATAGAAAACTTTATGTGTATTGACCCTCAGTAATAAATTACAAGAATTCCAACATGCATTTGATGAGGGAGACAAGGACATGAAAGGAATAAACAGGTGGTATTTGATATATTATTAGCAATTTTAATAAGTAAAGTCATTTCCAAAAGTATAGAGTACATTTGGATTAACAATTTAGCTACTAAGTAAAATCCGTGTAAAGAAAAACATTTTTTACTATTTCAATCTTGCCTTTTATCATATGTTTAATTTCTTTTATTTTTAATTTTCAGTCCAAATTTGACTGCCTGGATCCAGAAGCCCTAAACAGTCAAGTTTCTAAATATGCCAAATTTGTGACTCAATTGGAAAAAGGCTTACCACCCAACAATGTAGTTCCCCAGCTCAAAAGTAAGGTGGAAAAAATGAAAGAAAAGGTAAGGTTGGTAGAAATTATTCTAAAAACTCCAGGTTAATAAGTTATTAGTTGCTGCTAAAGAGACCAAAAGTCAGGAATTCTTTCCTAGTTAAGTTAGTCAGCTTTGTAAAGAAAAGAAAGAATAGTCAAATTCAATTTTTGCAGCCTCACAGACTGCATCCCTGTGTTCAACTGGCAAATCATGTAATTGAATACCTTGGTTAGAAAGGACATTTCAGAGTAAGTTTCCCAGTGGTGGGGAAAATAGTGCAATAACAGGTTGCAGTTGTGCTAGGATACTGATTCACTCAGCTCTTAGGCAGCCAGACAAGGCTAGGGTAGCCTTGTCTAAGCAGCCTGTCCGTTTGCACCACTGCACAATACAACAATGCCTTTTTCCAGATGTGCCATGATCTGAAGAAGGTTGGGAAGCCTGGCAGTAGGTGTACAGGACTGGCACTTTGAAATCATCACTGCTAAGCTGGTGTTTGACACGGATAAGAAAAGGAAAATTATTTTATCCTTTTAAGCAGTTTTAGATTTGTTTTTTAAAGATAGAATAAGTTCTGGTCGAGATGATGGAGTAGACAGTCCACAGTGTCACTCTCTCCCATAAATCAANTAAGTTCTGGTCGAGATGATGGAGTAGACAGTCCACAGTGTCACTCTCTCCCATAAATCAACCAATTTACATCTATAAAAATGTAACATCAGCCAAGCTGGGGCCACTGGAGCCCAGGGGAGGAGGAGAGACCTTGGAGTTCATGAAGGCAGAAGAAACCATAATGAGAGAAAGAAAAAACTGCTCTGAGCATTTCAGGCCATGGCCACTTTAAGGCGGGAGCTGCTGAGCGCGTGGAAGAGGAGTCAGCAGAAGCTGCTGCTGTGCACTTTAGCTGGAGTTACTTGGAGGCAGCAGGGGAGAAGAGGGCCTTGGTGGCCCCCAGGACAGTAAGACCACTAATTGGTTTCCTGTGGACCCATGCGGGAGGGAGGAGCCAGAACAGCTAAAAAAGGGGAGCCATTCAGAGTCCAGTGAGTCATCGCAAGGGACTGGTGCAGGGCCTGTCCCATGGGAAGTGTTTGGAACACAGGCAGTGTGGGACACAGGCCCATCAGGAGAACACTGGGACACAGCAAGGACAGCCGATCCACCCCCAGTCAGCACAGGACCACTCAGAGGAGACTGGCTTGGAATGCAGAATTGCATGGGGTGCAGTTTGATGAAAAAACTCAGGCCCAGATCAGAGTTTCTACACAACCCAGGTGAACCGGTCTCAGGAGAGCCAGAAGTACCTATAAGGTCAACCATTAAGCCCTGAGCTGCACAAAAAGCCTTCCCTAGGGAAACAGCAGCAAAGCAGCAATTTAGCTCAACCATACAGCTCAAGTACTTGTTCCCACAGGAAGTTCCCCCGTTTTAGAAGTAAGCAAAGGACAAAAAATTCTTTCTGGCCCAGGCATACCACCAGAGCCTTGGGGCCCACGAGGGGACATGAGGCATGGAGCTGAGGACCAGACCCCCTGCCCATAACCACTCACACTGCCAGTGCCTCGGGGTCCACCCAGGAAAACGAGGCTTGGAGCCAGGGACCAGACCCCCCACCCACAACCAGACACACCTCGCCAGTGCCTC